ATTCCCCATTCCTTTCCTCCTTGGTGTGATGAGCTGATCTGCCCACAACAAGCACACCACACACTCACTTTCCTTGCAGGCGTGGTGGTAGGTGGTGCGCTCGTGCTCATCCCGTGCTGGTGCTGTCTTGTACCTGTGGCGCTGGCCGTTCACCAGGTGTGTGCAGCACTGGTGTCGACAGGGGAAAGTCATGTAGGTGTGTTGGGCGCTCATGGATGAAAACAAAAAGACAGCTGATAAAGCACCTCTGTACTTTGTGGGCGACTTCGGAGAAAAAGAGCGAAACGGTGGCACATTCCGATCATTCTTCCCGTCCGAGACCTTGGCTGCCCCCCTTTGTAAAACGCCTACTAAACCAGACAATAAGGGGGCAAAACCACATGAATGTGTGGCACATTCCGATGTCATGACCAATCAGGTGAAGTGAGTGGGTGATGTGGCTGGCACAGAAGAGGGAGGGGTGTGTGAGGGGTGCNCAAAAAGGATACGGCACGGTGGATTCCCGGGTGGTCGCCCACCCCAGTACTAACACCGCCTGGCGCAGCTTAACTTCGCTGTTCGGATGGGAAGCGGTGCTTTCTGCGCAGTGTGGCCGTATCCATCAGCCTTCACCACACACTCTGCCATCACCACCTCCCCCATGTCCACGCCAACGTCACCCTCTTAGCTCATCAACGCGAAGTTGTGAAATGATTGATGGCGTATGTGAATCACTCGGTGCCATCTGGTGAATTCCATCAACAAAGGTTCTCAAAGCGCCTGGCCTCCATCCGCCTAGAGTTGGTCCGTGCAAGTAGTGTCCCATCCCCACCTCCCCTCACTTCTTCTAAGCCCTGTGCCAAGCTTGCTATGTTTACGTGTGGTGGCGGATAAAATGGTGGTGTTTACAAGATTAGCCTCCTCCTTCGTTATAGGGAGTCCACGCCGCCAAGCAGCTGCTTCAGCCGCCGCTCTTCGTCTCCTTCCGCCGCGAGGTCGGCCAGCAGCGAATCGATCGTCAGTCCGCGCGAAGACATCAGCGAATCAGATGACGAGTCCAGCAGCTTGCCCTGACCCGACCCATCTTCCAAGTCCTCCTCCACGACGTAGCGCCTCTTCCTGACAGGCGTGGATCTCACCTTCACCTTCTTCTCCTCCGTTCTGCCCAGGTCGTCGATCACGAAGCTTCGTTCGAACGTCGTCGTCGTGTCCGTTCGTTCGTTGTCCGGCGCCCGGCGCTTGACTCCCCTACTGACGGCATTCTCGCCGGTCTCCTCCCTGTCGAGCGCCTCCGCCACCAGGAACGACCAGTCGACCAGCCCCAGGGCGCGCCTGTCCACCGGCGCTCGTGGCTTGGCCTTCTCGCGCCCGGGCACCTCCTCCTGCTCCTGCTCCAGCTCCTCGTCTTCTCGGGCCTCCTCGCTGGCGCGGCTGCTGCTGCTGGAAGCCGGACCTCGGCCGCGTTGTCGTCGTCGAGCCGGAGCTTGGCAACCGGTTGCTAGTTGTG